ATTGCTAAGACTTACGATCAGGTCATGATCTCCTGCTTTTTGATCTTCCTAACACCCCACATCTCCCTTTTGAGTGCATACAAAATGAAGCAACTAAAATTGTCTTCCTTGCCAATTGCTGTGACCTCATGCTTCAGTCTTTCAGCTACATCAAATTGAAGCTTTTTAGTTCTCATTTTCAATGGCTTGCATAACTTTCTGTTAACAGTCTTTTATGTCACTCCATCACCAATTACAGTCTTGATGCACCTTTCATGCCCCCTCCCAATTCTCTTTGTCTTTTTTGCTCTGTTAATACAGAGCTGCCCCAGATTTCTTTGCTGCAAAAATTCCAATTTGGCAAGATCCCCTAAGCAGTAAGTTCCTTTTTGTTTTATCATTTAACACAGTTTTTTCCCCAATACCAAATAGGGATGAGACAGAATCACACGCTGTTAATGTGTGTATAGCAGGAAGTACGTTGCAGAAGTCCGGAGTGAGTGTGTCACAAATTGCATGCACAGGTATGAAGCAATACTTGTCAGCTGTGTTAGTAATGGTGCCTGTTTCAGTCTCCATGTTAGTTCTGTTTTCCATTTTTTAAAATACACGAATGGCAAATACATGAATCCGTATCAGCTGACCTGATTACTATGGGTCCTTTGATACCAAGATACCCCAAAATTAAATTGGTACATACAATGTGCAGAATCCCCCGTGTATCCACTTCTTCCAAAGGACTGTACAACGAATACCACACTAAGATTTTGAAATTAATTGAAACTACATAAAGTATAGTTACAGTCATGTTGCAGTTTTCCTAGAACAACACAAAAAGACAATTTCTTTTGTTGGGTACCATTGTTTTACTTCCCCAACACGCTTATGACACCATTTGATAGCTCCACCTCATACTTAAATAACATGTACATAAAATAACTATCAGATGATAAATTATGTTGGCTTATATAGGATGGGTATGTTAAATTCCAAAAATACAGTAAAACTCCGATAGTCCAGCATCCAACTGTTCGGCACTCCTGATACACCGGCATATCAAAATGCCAAGTGCTCCTGACCAGCTGATTAAAAAGCCTGCCACAGAGCCCAGGTGTTGGCTGTAACCAGAGGGAGCATAAGGTTGTGGGAGGGTGGGAAAGGGAGTAGGATCCTGTTACACTATGGAGAAGAGCGTTTTGCTTCAGCAGAGGGGAGGGGGAGAAGGATCAGGTTACAGCACAGAGGCGATGGGAAGAGGAAAGTGGAGGGGAGAGGGAGGGAGATTGTGTCCTGGCCAGCTGTTAAGCCCTGCAGCTGTACCAGACCTCCCGATTCTCCAGCAAATCTGATAATCCGGGACCACCTAGGTCCAAAAGGTGCCGGATTATCGGAAGTCTACTGTAAAACCTTTTTTGGAGAACTGTCACGTGCCTACAGATGTGTAAAGGGCTAGTGGCTTCTAGCCACCAGGATTCAGTGGCAGCAGAAAAACTACGGTTGAGGAATCAATTCCTCAGAAGTCAGCAACTGCCAGAATTAAGGTTACCTGTATAACTTTAATTCAGACCCCTGTTGAGTATGCATGATGATACAATCTTTAATTAAAAAAAACATGTATTTTCCACAGGACCTCTGCCTCACTCATCACACAGGACATTTGGGGTTCAGGGAGTGAATGGATGAATGAGGCTCTTGTCTATAGGATCCCTGCATCCATTTCTGGCAGAAGTTAGAAATGGGGTTGGGATTGCAGGAAAAGTAAGGATAGTCTCATGAATAAAGCAGTTGACTGTTCTCCGAGATAACTGAGTTTTTTTGCCTCTCCCTCTGACAGCGTTGTTATATGATTCTAGGCATCTAAAACCAGATTTTTCACAGGCAGTCAGTAATTGTGTACTCCTAACTTTTAGAGTACTCTGCTTGATTTATAGAAGTGCTAAGCACACAAAGCTATAGTTTTAAGTTAATGGGATCTGGTACACAGAACATATAAAGCGCTAGATAAAATGCTTAGAAAAATTAGGATTTAGTCACTTACGACACGTCTAGACTGAGGTTATTCCAAAATAACATAGTGCGTGTCTATGATACAAGCCTTTATTTTGAAATAATGTTGAGCTGGACAGTGACTTACTCTGACTCGTGGAACCATCATTTCACGAGGAATAAGGGAAGTCAAAAAAGGGTTCTTCCTTCGACTTCCTACTGTGTAGACAGTGCCAAAAGCCAAATTAAGCTAATTCGACTTAAGTTATGCAATTGACATAGCTGAAGTTGCATAGTTGAATTCAACTTCATCCCTGCTGTGTAACCGTACCCTCTGCTATCTCAAAATGGAAACTTAAAATTGCTGAATGTGACAACTTTGGTTTTAATCTCTCTGGGTATGTCTACACTACAGCACTAATTCGAACTAACTTAATTTGAATTAGTTAATTCTAACTAAGCTAATTCGAATTAGTGCATCTAGACCTTAAAAACTAGTTCGAATTAGCATTTTGCTAATTCGAACTAGCATGTCCACATTGAGTGGACCCTGAACCGAGGTTAAGGATGGCCGGAAGCAGTGCCGGCAGGGCATCAGATTAGGACTTAGAGC